TTAAAATAAAAACATGAATTTTGCTTTCAAAGTGACATATAAGTAAGTTTTGAGAAAGCTTGTGGCACTAACGAAAGTCATTTGAACATAAATTATTTAAAAATTCCTACTCTAACCAAATTCATTTGTTCTCTGCATCTCAGGAAAAGTCAATCCTAAGAAATGAAGTAGGCGAACGTGAAGAAGGCTAAAGTGAAGACTTGAAGATGGTGATGGCACGAATCTAATAAGCTTTGAAACTCAAATCAATTAGTGACTTGTGCAGCCTCAACATCTCAGAATTAGCTTTTCACTTTGGATTATCATTCAATACCACCCAACGCCTGTTTACTAATCAAGGAAAGGCAGCATCACAACTAAATCTCCCAAGCAAAACGGTTTTGATCCGCTTCTCATCCTCCATGACTATCCTGACACCTTCAGATTCAAGATAATTCTTCAGCAACCACTGGGTAAATATAACATGTGGTGTTTATGAATCGCTTATGGCATCGTTCTCAATCTTACATGAACAATGTGACACAACAAAAAATCAATCTTTTCAGAGTGGTCTCCTCTATTAGTTGCCAAGGATAATGCTCTTGGGTATTGTATAAGCGTTGAGATTCCAATGTTCTTCATTATTTTCTTACATTTTGTAAAATCTCATGGTAATATATTGAAGTAGGACTAGATACGGACACTTGTATAATCCATTTTCCTCTAATACAATTTCTGTGGGTGAGTCGTTTAAGGTTTACGTTATTAATGCAATTCTTATATATCTATATATATTAAACAAAAAGATAGCTTGAATCAATACTATTTATTAAATTTTGTTACCATTAAGGCCTAAAAAGCATTAAGTCCCAAAAGTTGAAAAGGCAAATTCTATTAGTGTCTTAATCATTCTTATATTTATCAGTTGATTTTAGTTTTCTAAAATTTAATTTTAAATTGTGATTTTATTTAGATATTTTAATACTTTCTTCTTTAAACTAAAATGGTGATTATCCATTTACTTTTTATTGTCAATAGAAAACTAAAGAGCAAATGAATTCAAATTAAAATTATTACTCTATTCACAAAATAAACAAAATTAAAAAACCATACTTAAATTTAAGCTAATTTGAATTTTATATAATAAAAACTCTTTTAAAAGTTATTTGTTTAAAATTCAAACTTCAGCTCATTACATTTTTAATTTAAATTTACAATTAATCTCATTGTATTATTTTTTAAATTTTAAATTAATAAATTAGTAGAAATTATACTGAATAATGAAATCTAAAAAAAAAGAAAAGAAAAGTAAAACCCCTTTTTTACTAGAAAAAAATCTATAAAAAATTATTCGATAAAATAAACAAATCAATAAACATAAATTTAGAATAAAATCTCTAACCAGACCAGATGTTTACCACTATTTTATATAAATGAGCTAAGTCATTACATTATAGAAGACAGCTTTACTAATATTAAATCATAAAAAGTTACGCGCGACAACAAGATGATTAACTCTGTAAAAGCCGCCCCGATATTCACGTGATATCTCAGTCTATAAAAATTTACATGCAATTGTTCGCTCCTTGTCGACCCTAAAATTTATGTTTTTGGTTCGAGTTGTGGATTATGTCTCAAATTTCCACCCAAATATGGACCTTCTTGATGTTTCTATATCTAGGAGATGCATATGATTGTCATAGGAAATGAATTCTTCACGGGTCTTATGCATATGATTATTATTGATGAAAATCAGCTTCACTAGCATACTTAAATTATGATTTCTTGCATGTTATTGTTATGCCTGATGTTTTAGATTTCAGGATGGATGTCTAAATATGGAATCATAACGATGAGGGGAAAAAAAAAGGTGGAAATGGGTCAGTTGTATTTAAACAATCCCAACAGGGTATTTACAAGATATAGCAAGCAAATCTGGTTCAACACATGTAGGCCAAATTCAAATGAAAAAGCTATTAAAATGCCAATCTAACATGCTGCAATATCCTGGGTGATATCATGTTCAGAGCATGATTCACTGCTAAAGATCCTTCCATTAGGCTCCTGAATAAACTGATGCTGCAAGGGCGATTCATCCCAGTCTAGTCTGCATTCCCCTACCATTACAGACAACTCTTAGCCATTGCCATTCTACTGAACACCTTCTTGGTACTCTAAAACTTTCATATGCAGCCAGCACCTTGGCCCAAAATCTTTTAGTCACCTCACTAGCAAAAAACAAGTGAGATCTTCTTTCATTTGCACTACCACATAATAGACATCCTTAACTGACAAGAAACTCTTTAGTTTTTAAGTTGTCAAGGATAACCTGACATAGGATGAAGCTCTGCCTTGGTTTAATCTTATTCATGGTTTAGTCAATTTGGACCATCTAGGGAACCTACATAATTGTTACTGTATGCTTCCAAGTAGTGAACCTAATTCATTCATGGTTACCGTGTCTGTGTGTGGTGATTAAGTTGAAATGAGCTGTTTTTAGACCATAATTACTTTTTTCATTCTTGCAAAGGAAAATACAGATTTGATAACTGCTGCAATGAGTAGGAGCCAGCACACGGCCAGATTCCCCACGCTTTTCTTGCCTTTTCTTCCTCCTCTGCCTTTTTGATAGCCTTGGTTTCATGGCTGTCTTCAATATAAGTTGACTAGTCCATCAGGAGTACTCTTTGTAACAACAACATTGTGAACGAGCTGGTTTTTCACATGCCATTATCAATAATTAGGTTTCTTCCTTGCTGGTGATTTGTTTCTTTTAATTCTTTATGTTATATCCCTTAGAGGCTTTCTAATGGTCTTTTCTGTTCTATGTTCTTTTTAGGATTTGACATTCATTTTAGTGTTTTCTATTTGTTTCCGACTATTATTTTTGAGTCTTGGAAATATTATGTGCCTGATATGGAGTTTAATGAGGAATAATTTTCAATTCCTTCACCGTCCACTTGAAAAAATGTATCAGGATAGTTCTCCTAGTTTTGACTTAAACTGAGAAGACCAAGGGCCATTGCACCTCTAGTAATGTGTGTTATTTTCTTTCTTACAGAATCACCCTTCCTTGACTTGATAGCTGAGGGCACATTCAAACAAGTTAGATCTCCCACTCCAATGAAAGGCAGTATTTGGTTTGCCTACTTGAAAATGTCTGTCATTAGTAATGAGGTAGATGAAAGTGAAGATGGTGAAGAAGATGATGCTGATCACGAAGCTGATAAGGTTTTAATGTCAGATCAGTGATCTACCAAACATGTATGTATATTTTGCTGTTCCTTAAAAAAGCTACATTCATTCTTCTATTTCACACCTCAAGCATTATAAAGTTCAGGGCATTATATTTCACTGTTCACTTCACACAGCTACTTTCATTATTTAATTACTCACTTTTGGTGTTATTGTGTCATGGTTTTTTTATAGGAAACTTGGTGTAGCATTATGTGATGAAATGCAATACATGACTTGGCTTTTCATGGTCCTTTACCCGTTTTGCTTATGGAGCTGATTGTGTTTTCGACAAACATAATGCTACATCAAGACGGTAACATTATGTGATATTTCATATGATGTTTTGTTGTGAAAATCGGAAGTTATTGTGAAATGGATTTGTTGTTAGCAGTGATATACTAAACGTGCATGTATATTTACCCTTCTTTAAGAAAGCTACATTTAATTCTATTGCTCATGTCTAGCTTGGCCATGTTTGTGTATTTTACCGTCCACTTCACACGGCTACATTCATTCTTCAATTACTCACTTATGGCATTATATTGTTTCAACTTTTTATTGGAGTGTGCTTAAACTTTTAGAGGAACTGATTTCTTAAAAATTCTGACATGTACTTTAGAAGATCTTGCCTTCCAATGCTTTTGAATTGTCCTCATGCGAGTTTTCTTTTCCATTTTTTCTTTTGCTAGAATCCATCATGAACTCTTCAACTTCTCCCTTGTGTTCTTGTGAAGAAGTGTTTATGGTAGGAGCAGAATCCATTTCATCCAGCTTTTCACCAGCTCTCTTCCTTTTCCTCTTTTTAGAGTTAGTATCTTTCCCATTCAGATTTGCAAGTGGCTGGAACTGTCTCATTTCCAACAAAAATGGATAACAATTTTGGGATGGACAGGACGAGGCTAAGTTATGAGGCAGTCGAGGGGAAGCTGGAAATGAAGTTGATGGCTGTAAACATCAAGCTTCAAGACTAATTTGTAATATATAGGTCGAGTTGTCCACTTATTGCATTTTAAGTACAGGGTTTCTTTCCCTTTAATTCACAGATGTGGAATGTTCCCACTCCAAGAAAGTGGTAGTGAAACTAAAATAGTTTCAATGTCTGATCAGTGATCTACCAAATGTGTATGTATATTTTCGCCTTCTCAATAAAGCTACACTTTGGTACAAAGGAACAGTGAAGAAATAAAATGGAAGTATATATGCATTCATTTCAGCCGTATTATCCATGAAATTGGCAACCGTAGCAAATTCTTTTCCCCAAGGTACTTTCTATTTTACAATCAGCTAATTAAAACAAGGCCTACCAAGAATAAATATCAAGAACAAAAATGATGACTAATATATCAAACATTCCATATTCTTTTGAAGAAACATTGCCAAGAGATGAACGGGAATAAGGTCCCCAGCAAAAACAGAAACCAATCCGATCTCCTCGTCATTAATCAGGGGACTCAGAAGTAATCATCTAACTAACACGTAAACTGCATATATGATTCCTGGAATATAACCCAACAGCGTGAGCAGTAGACATATCCAAAACTCCACCTGCAAATTCACATTCGAATTTAACATGTTAAGCCTCTGCTGCCTGCACCCCTAATTCACATTTTCATTTACAAAAAAACTGTAAAAAAGAATATATTTGGCAGCATTTTTCTCGTTTTGATCTTTGGTTGGATTTTCAGAAACATTCAGATGTATTAAACCCCAGAGTTGTATCCATTAATAAGCAAATATCATTTTGTAAATTAAGTTTAAGGTTTAAGTTTTGGAATCAATGCCAAGGAAATTACTTTGTTTAAATGCATTAGGCCGATTTGAAAAATATGTCTTTAATATCACCAGAGTAGGAATTAATCTTGAGGTAAGAAAACAACTTGACTGTATATACTAAATAGAAAGAAAAAAAAAAAAAGCAACAAAATCCTGTTTTAATGTTTTTAAAAACAAGCTGGAAACATGTATCAGCGCATAACATTGCTAATATCAGCAGGACGAAATTAACATGGAATAGGAAATCAAAATGTTACCAAATGACAACTAAATGAATGTGACAAAAAAGAAATTATTACGATTGATGGAAGTTGAGAAAATGGCAGATTCCCTAAGGATTTCAAATGCATGGAATTTTGATTTTGGTTATTACCTGGCGACCGTAGTGGAGGAAAACACCGAGGAAATGGCTGAATTCAATGTTAATTCTGGATTTTTGATAAATTTAGGGAAGTTTAACGTGAAATATCATCATTTTATGATATTTGGAATTGCTGATTAAAAAAGAAAAAAAAATGTTTATTTGACTAAAAAAAGCAGTTGTTAAAAAGAGGATGGACCTAAATTGGTCATATGCTAAAAACAGGGCAAATATACGTCCAGAGTGTGACTCAAAGGAAAAGAAACTCAAGACAAGTTAGTTAGGTGCAAATCTTGAATTTAAGTCCCACTTACATGGATAATTACTTAAATAATTTAGAAGTAATTTTTTTAAAAATCAAATTTTAAGTTTAAATTGTATAATATATAAGTACAATGGATGAAGGGCTGAAAGAGGACATTATGCTATCTAAAATAATAAAAGAAAAGTGTCCAACCAATGTGTTTTTGTAAATTGACCGGGTAGGTGAGCTCCTAACCATCATCAAATATGCTAAAAAAATCCGTAGTTCCTAGAATTTTTTTGACTAATGCGTGACATCGTAATTATTTAATCTAATCATAAAATACTGTTCAAGTATAATTAATGGTTCAATCATTGATCTGTTACTCCGAGTGAAAATAGTGCAGCTCTTTTTACACAAGGTTTTAAATGTAAATCTTGTAAATAGAGGGATACGTATTGAAAGAGTTTCTCCCATTGTAAGATTTAGTGTAACTTGATTCTAAATTAGTTAATTAAAATCTAATATGACTTTCAAATACTATAGATTCAATAAAAAAAATTGGTCCAATACAATTCCAAATGATATTGTTTAACAACAGAATATTGGTAAGTAATAATTATTGCTGTGATTTGTTTAACCGTGACTTTTATGAGACAATTAACATGGATGTACTGGGTTTGAGTACTCATTGTATTCTTAATCAATAAATTCATCTTTTACTGTGCAAAAAAAAAACAGAATATTGGTAAGTAATAATTATTGAAAAAATAAATAACAAGAATAATTATTGAAAATGATTAAAAAAAACTTATTCAAAATAAACAAGAAGAACAATAATAACCTGTTTGTAAATATTTGTTTGTGATTAAATTCTATAGCTATTGCACCATCAACGGTTTCTAAACTCTAATTTAATCTTAACCCAAGCCTATTATATTAGATTATGTTCAGGCATAGTACATTGATAACTTGAGATTAAGGTCCCTGATTTTTTATTTTTTATTTTTTGTTATAGAGAAATGTGTGTAATTTTTTTATATTAATTTCTTAGTATTTGAAAATAACATTGGACTTAACTAATTTAAAATTAAGCAACGTCAGACTCCATAAAGATAGCTCTTTCGACTTATCTTTTCATTTACAAGATTCAAACTTAAAATTTTATTTAATAAAAAAAACCAAATTTTTTTAGTTGAACCAACAAATTATTGATAAAATGTGTGTAATTTAGATTGTAATAAATTACATAAGCTATTCCATAGATGTGATTGTCCTCCTTAATGGTGAGACCCTCCCCCTAATTGATGGTTCTTACAGTGGAGGGCAATCTAACTGTAAACAGGGTTGGTGTTCTATTTTCTCCTTTTTTTGGTTCTCTGATAGCTAATTGTTAAACCCTAGAATTTTCGTGGCAAACAAACAGACGAGAACGGTAGTTTAGTTTCTCTGAACACGACAACACAATGATTTACTCCATGAAAACTTCGACTTTCAGGTGACAGTTCGATCTGTAAAATTGCTGTTTTTGCTTTTAGATTTGAGTAGGGGATGAGAATGTTTTCCAGTCCCTGATTTCCACCCTGAAATGTAGCTCTTTGATGCCACTGTATTTAGGAGACGTATATTATCTATCATAGGAAATGGATCCTTCATGGAGCCTATGCATGATGGCTTCTTAAAATGAATGTGAAATTTAATCACGTTATTGCTTAAAATTAGCTTTATTAACAAGGAATTGAAGATGCAGGAAAAAAATGATTTGTGGGTGATTTCTTGTAATAAATTGTTATGATGGATTCCATATGAATGTAGAATGTCTGAGTGTGAGAATCACAATGTAATGAAAAAATCTATTAGTATAGGAGTCAACACTCACTTGCATCCACATGTCGCTTACACAAAATCTTAGCTATTCATCTATTCATTAAAAAGGATTGAGATTTTCCCATAATGATTTATTTTGTGGGAATTTGTTGGCTATCCTTGGATTTGGTTAATTTGGACCATATCTAGTAAACATATTTCATAACTCATAGGTAACCTATGTCTCTAGATCTTTTGAACCTATTTCACGTTACTATGTGTCTATCTTCCGTGACTAGGGGAAGATAATCTGTTTTTTAGACCATTATTAATGTCATAATTCTTATTAAGGAAAATACAAATTTGTTACTAGTAGCAATAGGTGGTGTTATTACCACACCTTTTTATCTTAACTGACCATTATACCCCTTAATTCATTTAAAATTTGAAAAAAATAATGCAGAGTCTAGAGAAACAGTGTAGTGCAAGGGGATATAGTCAATTAAACTAAAAAAGCGTGGCATTAACCATTAAGGGTGTAGGAATAACCCCCCGGTAGCAACCAACATATTGCTAGATTCCCCTTGATTTTTTGCCTTTTCTTTCTCCGTTGCTCTGTTGTATTCCATGGTAGATAAATATTTACCAACAATTATAGAGCAAACCACATTTCTGATTGTAGATCTTTTCTTCCACTCCTAGTGCACGCTGTAGTTCCACATCTCATTTTCCCACAGTATGTTCTTTATGAAAGTTAAGCTAATCACCATTTTGGGTTTCTACTAGGAAGATTGGTTCATCTTTTAACCTTATGGTTCAGACAATTTGGACCATCTAGAGAACCTGTTTGCTGTCCAGTGAACCTATTGAATTCACACTTACTGCATGTCTATCTCTTCTGTTTTGCTGAAAATAAATCTGTCTTTTGGCCATAATTAATTTTATCATTCTTTCAAAGGAAAATACAAATTTGATAACATATGAGTTAACAAAAGCCAACGCATTG